GATCTGCCAGCCCTCCTTGCTCCCAGCCTCCTTCCCTCCCCATTGTTAGGTTTGGGGGTTCAGGGGGTTCAGCGGTTGGGCAACCAAAGCGCTGCTCCCTGCCCCGTGCCGTGCCCCGCCTGCTCCCCTGCGATGCAGCGAGGTGCGCGACGTGTCTCAGCCCTCCTGCGCTGCCGCCGCCGCCGCCGGCGAGCGGCGCGGCCGCATCCTGCGCCTGCTGCTCACCGACGGTCCGGGCAGCTGCGCGGCGGTGGAGCTGCAGCCGCTGGCGGCCACGGAGGAGCAGGTGGGTGGGGTGTGTGTGCGTGCGGTGGTGGCTGCGTGTGTGTGTGGTGGGTGGGTGGGGGGACTGTGTGTGCGTTCATGCGGCTGGGTGTGTGCGTTCATGCGGCTGGGTGTGTGTGTGCGCGCGCTTTTGTGTGGGAGATGTGTGCATGTGAGACTGTGTGTGCGTGAGCGCGCGTGTCAGTGGCTGCTTGGGCGCTTGGAGGCTGGTGCCAGCGATGCAACACATGCGGCCTCCCACAGCGGTGGCCGCCCACAGCAAGCTCACAGCAAGCAAGTCCGCCGCTCACACATGCGCCTGCGCCCCGCCGCCCCGCCCGCAGCTCTGTCCGGGCACCAAGTTGTGGGTGCAGCATGCGACGGCGCGGCTGGGGGTGCTGCTGCTGGAGCCACGCAGCCTGCAGGTGGGCTGCCGCTGTGGGCGCCTGGAGGGATGTCAACTGGGGATGCTGCCGCTGCTGCTGCTGCTGCTGCTGCTTGCTTTGGCGCTGCCGCCGATGAGCTGCTGCTGCTTCCTGATAAGCTGCTGCGCTGTTGCTGCTGTCTGCTGCTGCTGCTGCTTCCTGTTAAGCTGCTCCGCTGCTGCTGCCGTCTGCTGCTGCTTCCTGCTGAGCTCCTGCTGCTGCTGCTGCCTGGAAGCTGCCGATGTGCGCCTGCCCCTGCCTGCCTACCTGCCTGTCGCCCAGCCCTGCCCTGCGCTACCACCTGCCGCCTGGCCCGCCCGCGCAGGTGCTGGGCGGGCGTGTGGAGGCTCTGGCGGAGGCGTGGGAGGTGCAGCAGCGGTACGGCGGTACCGCAGCCGACCGCGCCGAGGCCGCGGATGCCGAGCGCCCGCCCGCCTTCCGCACGTTTGACCCGAAGCTGGCGCGGTACGGCAGCAGGCGCGGCGCGGCTGCCAGGGTTGCCGGCGCGGCGGCACCAGCCGGCGCGGCGGCGCTAGCGCCGCAGCCACCAGCAGCAGCAGCAGCTGCAGCAGGGGCAGGAGCAGGAGCAGGGGTGGCTGGGGCAGCCACCAGGAAGGTGCAGGGCCAGGGAGGCGGTACTACATCTGCTGCGCCCGCTGCTGCTGCCGCCGCCTCTGCCGCAGCAGCCTCGGCAGCGCTGAAGGCTGCACCGGGTGCAGGCAGGCCACCTCTGCAGCAGCAGGAGCAGCAGCAGCAGCAGCCGCAGCAGCGGGTGCGGCGGGGGGCGCAGCCGTACCAGCCGCCGGTGGCACGGCAGCAGGCGGAAGCGCAGCAGGGGCGGCAGGCGGCGGCAGCTGCAGAGGCCAGCATGCAGCTGCAGCAGCGGCAGCCGCAGCCGCAGCAGCAGGCTGCCCCACCCCCGCAGCAGCCGCTGCCGCCGGCAGCTGCAGCAGCGCCAGCGCCAGCGTCGGCGCAGGCGCCGGCGCCACCAGCGGCAGCCGCCCAGAAGCTGCTGGGCCGGCTGCAGGCAGAGGAGGTGAGCGAGCTGCTGGCAGGGGAGCGCCCCTGCCTGTCTTCTGCTATCTACCGTTGGTATGCGCAGGTGTTGCTCTCACAAATCACACCCCACGCCACCCCACCTTCCAACCTGCTGCTCTCCTGTTGCACGCTGCAGGGCCGCTTCGGGCGGGGCCAGCCACGGCGGGGGCGGCGCAGCCGATTCGAGGAGGATGAAGGTGGGCCCAGGGAGCAGGCAGCTGCCTGGCAGGCAGCAGAGCCTGGCCTTGGCACCTGCCGGCCTCCCGCACCCTTAGCAAGCGACCAACGCTGACGGCTTGCATGCTGCTCCGTGCCTGCGCTGCCGCTGCTGCCTGCCTGCCCGCCTGGCTGCCTGCCTGCCTGCTTGCTGACCCCTCCGCCACACGCTACGCCTTCGCTTCACACACGGCTCCCCTGCCCCCATCCGGAGCCGCAGACGACAGCAGCATGACACTGGAGGAGTGGGAAGCCAGGCGGAAGGCGGGCGGTACCCGCGACGGTCCCGGAAGCGGTACCGCCCTCGACCCACCCGCCAGTACCGCAGACGTCAGCGACGCATCGCTGCAGCCACAGCAGCAGCAGCTTCTGTCGGACGAGGAGCTGGCCCGGCAGCTGCAGCGGCAGCTGGACCTGGAGGCGGCGCAGGAGTGGGGGCGTCCCGCTGAGCGGTACCAGGTGGGCGGGCAAGGCGGCAGTACCACCCATTTCTGGGAGGTTCTTCTGCGAGATGGGCGGCCTGCTCAGGCAGCACGTGGGGGCGGCTGCTCTGGCAGCATGCCCTGAAAGCAAAGCCCTCCTGCCTCTGCACACAACCCCGTGCTTCATTGCCAATCGGCAGCATCCGCAACCTCTCCCTGCTTACTGTGGTGGGTGGGCTGCGGGTGCTGCGCGCAGGGCCAGGAGCTGGCGGCCTCCCTGCAGGCAATGTTCCAGTACGGAGGGAGGGATGGCGGCGAAGGGGTTGAAGAGGCAGGCGGCAGCGGCCCCGGCGGCTACCGCGGCCGCGGCCGCGGCCGGCGCGGCGGCAGGGACGGAGGCAGCGGCCGCGGCCAGGGCCGGGGCCGGGGCCGGCACTCGTGATCATCCGCTCATCTCCCCATCAGCGCCCTGGCACACCTCACACAGCTGACCTCTTTGCAGCTGCTGTGGCGTGCCAGCTTTATGCCAGAAGGCAATCTGGCAAGCCTGTGGTGGCTAACGGCGCTGCTGCGGCTGGAGCTTGACTGCAGGGACTGCAGCGGCAGCTGGCGCGGACTGGCTGCCCTGAGCCGGCTGCAGCACCTGGACGTGTTTGCTGGGCGTGGCCGTGATCCTGCTGCCAACCCCCTTACAGGCCTACCATCCGGCCTGTCCACCCTGACGGCCCTTACCCATCTGGGCCTCTGGTCGTACACATGCTTGCTTGTGGAGGACACCGTTCGCCCCCAACACCTGCAGCGGCTCGGCCTGCTGCAGCATTTGATCCTATTTGCCGTTGCCACCAGCGCTGCCTTCGCTGCCTGCGCTGATATTCCTTTGGTGCAGCTCCATTGAACTGTCAGCGGCAGGAGTGAGCTGGCGCAACCTGCGTGGGCTGACAGCGCTGCAGGAACTGCTTCTCGAAGGGTGCAGCATTCAGCAGCTGCCAGCAGCGTTGTCGCAGCTTACAATGCTGACCAGCTTGAGCATCAGGGACAATGATCTTTCGGCGCTGGCGCCGCTGGCTGCCTTGCGGCCGCTGGAACAGTTAGACCTAAGCTGGTGTGAGCTGGCAGCAGTGCCGGAGCAGCTGTCGGCGCTGACAGCCCTGACGCGGCTCAGCCTGTCGTGGAACCGCAATTCGGTGGGCGGATGGCATCACCTGATTCCCCTCACCCGCCTGCGCTCGCTGGCCCTGGGTGATGTGCCGCTGCCCGACGGCGTGCCGCCAGAGGTGACCGCGCTGCCGGCACTGACGCACCTGTATCCTGAGACTCTCCGTTTCTGATCAGAGGGGGTGGCAGCCCCGCCCTTTGTCTCGAAGCTGTCCCCATCTATCCTTCACTTCGTTATCATGTCTCATGAACAGCGCGTAGGCATATTGTGCATTTACAGGGTCTGCTGCCACGGTATTACGTGGCAGGCGCAACAGGCAAGCCAATGGGGCAAATGGGGATGGGGAGAGCCCCTTGCGGTGGTAGGAAAGAATAGGGATTGGGTGCCATGAATGGGCGCACCATGCGGCAATCAAGGCAGTGCGGCATCAGGGCAGGAAAGGCAATCAGGGCAGGGGGAGGGGAAGACGAATCACGCAATCATGGATGGATGGTAAGGTGTTGTTTTGCGTTGTGTTGTTGTGTGGGGTCCCGGTGGTGGTGATACAACGTTGAAAGGGCATGCCCAGCCTCAGGCCGCAGCCTGTGGGTGGGGGAGGCGCCGCGCTGCATATGCGCCGGCGATGCAAAGGTCTGTACAGGTCCCGTGGCCGGGCTGTTGTTTCGTCCGCAGGGCAGATGCGGTCTCCAGTTCGGGGGGGGCGCCCCTTCACGCAAAAATCAGACCGCTGCTGGTGGGCCGGCCTCTGGTGGCACGGGAGCCCGGCTCGCGGGAAGTTGGGAAGTCAGGGGGCAGCTGTCGGTAACACGGTACTGCGGTACCGCTCACAGCAGGTCTGCGGAAAGCGCGGCGTACCAGGCGCCGCACACGGCCTCGGTCACGGCAGCCACCGCCGCCAGCTGGCGCGCCAGCTCAGCAGCCTCGCCCGCCACGTCAGCGGCGCCGCACCGCCTGCGGGACACAGGAGCCGGGGAGGGGGGGTGGCGGGTTTGAGCAAGGCGGGGAAAAGACGCAATGAAGGTGGGAATGCGTCCAGGGTGGCTTGCAGGTTACCAACTGAGCACCCCCTACACTGCCGCCTCCCACCGCTGCCTGCCCGGCAAGGGTGCACCGCCCTCAGCCACCCCGCAGACACGAGGACAGGGCGTGCCGCGGCTGCGCAGCTCGACAAAGGCGCGGCCGAACAAGGCGGCGCTGGGCAAGGCTGAGGCGCAAGGAGGAGCGTACTATGGGCAAGCTTAAGGCAGCGCCGCAGCAGTGGGAGGAGCATCACCTGAGGGACAACGCCGAGTGTCGGTCGGCGGCGCCGCCGGGGCCCAGCAGCAGCGGGGCCAGCAGCGCAGAGGACAGCCCAGCGGTCAGGGCCTGGGCAGACAGAGCAGAG